CTGGTGCTGCTGCTGGTGCTGCTTCCATTCCGGCGTGTCGGGGGTGCCGTGTGGTTTGGCGAAGCTGCTTGCTCGATTCACGGCAGCGTTTCATTGACCATCGGAACAGGGTATCCCAACGCAATATGCCGTGCAATGAAGGCAGTTGTATCAGAGCATGATCGCTCTTCCGATTGAGAAACAAGAGAAGTTGTCATGAGATGTGATTGGCAAGCAGCTGCTATGTGAATTGCCTGCGATCTGCTTGAACATATTGCTCATACAATTTGTGCGGCTACTCCCTGTCTGACCCTAGCGAAATCACAGCAGCTTTCCGCCAGGCCCGTGCAACTTGCATGTTAACATAGGCCCGCTGAGTCCGCCAGCCTCCACACACACACGCCAGATGCCCAAAAACACATAATTAGATCTGTCTCATCCTGTGGGGTGCGTTTACCTCTCATCTCAAAGGCATTGCGGCCCCAGTCTTCTGCGACCGACCCTAAATGCTTCAAGTCACCTCTACATTTACTTCAAAACCCTTGCCAGCACTTCGAATGCTTTACACAGTGCCAGTCTTGTGTCGCTTGAGGCATCTTGAGACCATGAGCGCATCCCTATGTTTTTTGCAGCTCGGAATGTACCATTCACAGTGCATGGCTCGAAGGACCTCATTCAGAAGATGGGCTTCTGTCGTATTGAGGCGTGGGTGTTCATCTTCCCCCCAGCCCCTTGACTTAAAGCAAAGGTTATCAAGAGTTTGAACCAGCCTGAAGTTGGGTTCAAACCGTCTTCCGGCAAAGGTGGCCCTCGTGGGGGCATTCATCTATTTTATGCCAGCATCATCCTCGTCGCGGGAGCAAGCATCACAGGTGGCTTTGCGCAAACGCTTGCGTGTCGTGTGCGCTCCTTTGAGTCGCAGCTTCTGGTGTGAACTGTGTGCCGGGCCAAGGAAGAGGATGCGACATCGAGGACGCCCACGCGAGAAGGCAAGGCGGCAGACAAGGCACCGGCAGCAAAGGCGCCCGCAGCAAAAACGAAGAGGTCGCCCAAAGCCAAGACATCTGCCTCAAGAAGGCGGCGCCCCAGTGAGTCCAATAGTGAATCTTCGGATTGAGCCGTGGCCTTTTGGCCCTGCCTTCTGTGCCCTTACGCGCACATTTTAACGGAGCTACAGTTGTGATTTGACACTGTCGAAGCAAAGCTCTTTGACTCAGCGGCTAAGGTGCCGAGTGGAGTTCAAGAGTCGGAGAAACTGCGTGACGTGCGCGCAGCAGTCCGCTTGGCAGTCTCCAACATTGTGACCAACGTGGTGGAATGAAATGGGTCTTTCCCAGATTTGGGGCCCTCTTCGATGATTTTTCTTGGCTCCACAGCTTTCCGGGAAATGGTCATATCTCCAGAGCTTTCTCGCTCGGCTCAACCCGACTTGGGAGGTGGGCGGCGCCTCACGCCTTGTTCTTCGGTGCTGACGGCGGCCCAGCAACTCGCCGTCTGATGGGATGGCCCACTTTTCAGGGGCCGATGCCAGTCTCAAGTCCCTCAACTGGCAGAGGGGGTGTTCTGTTTTTTTTTTTTTGGCATTTCTGCTGGAGCCTGAGGAATGGGAAATGAACCCGGCGGAGTCTTTGATCAGCTTCCTGGGGATGACAGCGGTTCAGATTAGCGGAGGACTGCAAGAAAAGCGGTGTGTAGCTGTTTGCGGTGGGGAACGTATTCATTGGCGCTCCCGCGGTTGGCTGTGCCAGGAATCCTCTTGATGATCCTGCTTGACAGGCCTGTCACAAGAGGGCGCAACAAGTGCAGAATGAATGGTTGTGGTGGGGAAGGCGTGTGTCGGCTGGGGCTAGTAGGGCTAGTCGCAGAACAACCGGCAGACCACTTTTCCAGTGCCAAATCGGCTATGTCGAAAGGAACCGAACCTGACACCTACCATGTGATCAGCTCGGTTTGACAGGCTCGCTGGTTCGCCCAAAAGTCTGAGGCGGCAGTACCCAGCACTGAGCCACTCTGGCGCTGCGGACCCAGAGGTCCTGGGTCCCAAGACGCTGCTCCAAGTCAAGGGTCTGCTCCACAGCCACCCGGCCGAAGGGTGTGGCTCTGCCGGACATGTGACGGGTAGGATGTGCTTTGGAGTGCCGTTTTTTTGCGGATGACAAGCATTTGGCCGGGGGCCAGTAGTTTTGATACATTCTCGCGCGATCCTGAAACGGAGAGGAGGGGTCAGGGAAATGCTTGACTTTGTGTTTCAGTGCCAGGCTATGGTTGGCTGACCGGAAGGCGGCAAGCAGAAACTCTAACGCTGAAGGGCGTGCCGTGTCTGCACAGTGCTGGCATTGTGACCCGATCTTGCAACCGTTCTCTGGATGGAGCTGTCTGGTGCGTGCGAATACTCGTCAGCTCGAAGGCATGAGATGTGAAGCGAGGTGAGCTTTAAGATTGAGCGCGGCGAGATGCTTGGCTTGCTGGGGCCCAATGGCGCTGGCAAGACGACCGCCATCCGCATCTCGGCAGTGCGCGCTAGCCACGGTTCCGCAGCGCCGCCCTATCTTGCAAGAGGTTTGTTGCCAATGGGTGATGGGCCAGTGATGGGTGTGTGCCAAGATGTGGGGGGGGTCCTTGCGAGGATTTGCATTTGAACACGTCCAACAGCGGAGTGGATTGTCCCATCTATCAAAGCGATTGGTTGATTCTTGGTAGACTTCGCAAAACACTTCCCCATGTCGTGTTGCGGGCAAGTAAGGATGCATCACTGGCGAGGAGGCGCCCAAAGAAGGCTCGGTCTCCATCGGCTCAGAGGTGCCCGGCGGTGCATGTATCGGCCTATGCCCGCAGGCGCGACTGCTTGGGCACGGGCGTCGGCTTGCTAGTTCTTAGCAGGCCACGTGGATTCCTCAAAAAGAGTTTGGCCCGGATTTTTGAAAGGCACCCAACAGGCCTTTTGTCACGGTCCCAAGGAGTCTGCCCAAACCACGCGCGCTTGCTTGAGTATTGAGTGTTGGGTTGCCTTTAGAAATCGCCGGTCTATCGTGTTCATTGCTGCTCAGGCAATGTTTGACAGAGGAAAGCAACCAGTTGGGCTCTCCCTGGTTCCAAGGCATTGCCACAAGGCAATGCACACTGCAATGGCGCAATAACTCAATCGTGGATGGCAGGGCCTGTTGAGCTCACACCATGACACGCCAACGTGGATCAAACATGTTGGAAACTAACAACCTGCGCTGCCAGCCCGCAGGACACTGTCATCAATGGCTGCTTGGCTCTTGATCGTCACTACTGAGCTGTAGTAGCGCAATGTTAACCCGAATTAATATGCCCGGTGGATTAGCATGGGGGTGTTTGTTTATCGCTACAAGACCGTAGCCACAGTGTTCATGAGGCATGTCCCCGCGTCTGAGGGGACTTGACCGTCTTTGAGAACTTGCTGTTCTTTGCTCATGTACGAGGTGCAGATTCTGACGCCTGCTGACTGCTCAACGAAAAGGACGTTTGCTCTGAGGGGCTTTGGCTTCGGCCAGGGGAAGGTCTAGCTTTGGCATTGTCCATGTCGTGTCTTTATCCATTCGCGAGCGCTTGCTATCAAGCTTTGCGTTTGGGGCGTGGGGCGACCTACCACCTAGAAAAGAAAAGTAAGTTGGGTTCAATCTCCTGCCTTCAAGGCAAAAAGATGGCCCTTACACGTTTTCATTCACAGACTTGGCGGACGCCTCCGGACGTGAGCGGGCAGGCGTGAGCGGGGACGCCGCCCGCCGGGCGGTGGCCGAGATCCTGCGGGCCACGCGCCTTGAGGAGAAGCAGCACGCGCTGCCCGACGCGCCCGGCGCCCAAGTCGCGCCGTTCCGGGGATCGATGCGACGCTTGAGGTGGGACGTGTGTTTGGCGCTGTTTCTCTTGGGCCTTGTGGCGGGGGGATGGCTCCGTAGTGAGCACCCAGGCCGAGTTCAGTTTGAAGAGATGCTAGTGACCGATGTGGTTTCATAGGTGGGCAAGGCCGCAAGCTCTTCTTCCTTTATCATTGCCAAGCAAATCGTGAAGGGTAGAGGATCATAGCCAGCCAAACGTCCAGCACATTCCATCTTCGAGTCCTACGCCACATCCGCCCTTCGGTTCGATGCTGTCATCCCACAGCTGTTGAACACTTACCCACGCCAGTGCAAAGCGTGTCATCCCACAGGAGTGGTTCGGTGCTTCTCAAAATCGGCGTCCAAACTCCGTGAGCCAGGCTGAGCGGCGGCATGCGCCGCCGCCTGGCGGTGGGCTGCGCCATGATCGGGGTGCCCTCGGTGGTGATCCTGGACGAGCCCACCACCGGCCTCGACCCGGTGAGCCGCCGCGGCATCTGGGAGACCATCGCGGAGGTCCGGCGTCCCTTTTGTCCCCATGCTCTTTTTGCCCCCCCCGTTTCTGCCCGATGTCATGGTTTGTCATTTGACCCTCTACGGGTGACATTTGTGCATGGCGACTGGCTCACTAGAACATGAAAACAGCCTTGTGAGCTCCATGAAGTCACTAGTTTGGTATGGAGGAAGCGTTCGACGAACTTTCATGTCATGTTTTTGGATTTTCTCGTTGCCGCCCTCCAGCTGTACTGGCTCTAAGCGGCCCGAATCCTGCAGTGGGCGTCCGGGCCGAGCGCGGCCCTCAACTGGGAGGTTGGGTGGGTCACGGGTGACCTTCAGCGAGCTTGAGGAGACTCCAAGCATAGGTGTCCTTTTTGGTTGGTTTGCTTGAAACATAGAGGGTCTTGGTTTAGATGGGGTGTATTCCATTTACCAGGGCCATCTATTTTTCCAAAAGGCCACCTATGAGTCCAAGTCTCCAGCGTCTCAGAGTTGCTTGGTCTCACTGCAAGGCCCCCCCTTTGGCCGATCTCCGCTGGCATGATGCTGGAGGTCGCGCCGGGCGCGGCTTTTGTGCAGGTTGGCCCAGGCTGGGCGATGGAGCGCAGAGCGGGTTCCAGCTTTGCCCTGGTCTTCTTGACGCGCGCAAGGCCAAAGCCGGCCTACTCCTAGATGGCACCGACAGCAGTCGGCGCCCAGCTACAGAAGAACGGGCCGGGGCTGCCAAGCGGCTTGTCGCGAAGATTCAGATTCTGCCTTCTTCCAACATTTTCCGGGCTGCACGTTTTGGCCTCGGCTTTCAGGATCATGCTGTACGCCCCTTCACAAGCGCCCGTTTCCATGAATGAGGGCACCAGCCAAGCTGGCGGGCAGGTTAAACAATGCCAAAGTTTGCCAGCCACGCTTGAGCCGCGTCAGCTACGTTTCGCTGCTTCGGAGCAAGCACCCCACAGTCCTCTTAGGCAGCCGCCGCCCTGGCCGCGGCCTTCGCCGTGCCGCAGCGGAGACGCTGTGCACTGCGCGCGGAGCCGGCGGAGCCAGAGGTCGTAGATGCCGAAGGCCCGATGCGAGCCTGTGCTTCGCAACGGGGGATGTGGCTGTGAGTCTGAATTGGAAGCCAACCTTGGGCCAGAAAACCAAGGAAACACTGGATGAGGAACCAACTAGTTGATCACTGGGAGTGGGCAGTCGAACTATGGGCGTGATTTGCATCTTCGAAAAGGGAGCCCAATTCGGAACAAAGCAACGGCATGGCAATGGCCGCGCCACCATAGGAGCCTGGAGAAAATTGGTTCATGGGCTTTGCTTGCCCTCCAGAGCCTCCACCGAACCACAACCGTGGAGTACCCGAAGCTTACAAACGGGGAGGGGGAGGTTAACAGGGGCACCTTGCGTGAGGGGTTAAACCTCTACGAGATATTCCACAGCCTGGCATGCCAGCCCCCATTTCCAACACGATCGAACAAGCGGCATGCGAGCTGTTAATATCGTTGCCACTTTATGTGATTTGCCATAGCCGAAGCGTGTGGTAAGTAAGGCCTTGCTGATACATTGCAGCGCCTTTTGGCCACAGAGCAGTGGGGATATTAAGAAGTCATCGCAAGGGGGCTCTGTGATAATATCACCTTCCTGTGCTACGGGCGGTGGGGTGTGGCCATGTTCTGAGTTTTCCGCCCTGGGAGGTGACGTGAACTTGGATTCCTTCAGCTCCTCGACTGCAAGTCAGCGAGGGCCTGCGCGCGTCACAAGCGCGCGTTGGCGCCGCGTCGAGTTGACGTGTCGCGGTCTGAGGTGAGATGACGCCTTACGGCGTCTACCGCAGCCCGCCAGCGCGAATTTTCGAGGGCACCGATGAGGTGGATGTCTCGAAGAAGGAAGAGCGGCCGGCGGGCTCCAGCGAGGACAACACCTACTTCTGGAAAATGACGCAGGACAAGAGATTTATTGAGGCCTGGTACGCATCGTGTGGGTCAGTTGGCACGGCCACCCAGCATGTTGGCATGGCACGTTGTGCAAGCTGCATTAAGTCTGCATGTCCTTCCGTTCAGGTATTTGCGCTTGCCCCACAAGCGCAAGGGGCGATTGGATCAGCTTGACTAAATGGGAGCCTCCGGTCAGGGTCCGTATTTGCTAGGGCGCTCAACAGACCGTTGCTCTGCCACCATTGCTTACTTGATGCTGTTCTTTGTGCAGTCCTAGGGCGAAAGGCAAGCCGCCCCGGAACGAATGGGCACGGGCAGAACTCGTGCCAGTCGTCTTTCCCCTCCCCCTCCCCTCCCCCCCTCCTTCCCCTCCCCACAGATCCATCCCTGAGGTGATCGTGCCGGTGGACGACTGGGTGGAGGCCAAGGATGTGGTCTACCGCATCGGCGAGGAGCCGGAGGATCCGAGCCGCGGCCCGACCCTGGAGCTGGGGTTCCGTTACAAAGGCGGGGCCCAAGATGTGGGGGGACAGAAGCGGTGAGAATTGTACGGTTCATGCGGTCGAACGCGGGGGAGGGGGCTGGCGTGGCAGCTCTGGGCCTGCAATTGTGACTGCAAACTGGCGTCTGCACGCCTCTGTGGAGCGTGGCTTTGGGTTTTGAGGTAGTGTGCTGTGACATGTTCAGTTGCAGCTTGGCCATTTGCAGAGTGCGGGGACGCACTTCTTTGTCCAGTGCATCGCCTTGTCACAGATGAAGATGGCCGCTTCAAAGAGCATCTTCTCATCGACGGCCAGATCTTGAATGCTGTACGGAGGCGCGAGCAAGCCGGCTGGCATGACCACTCCACCCATTGGCCAGTATCACTATCACCAAAGAAACCCGCCCACCTCCCAGGGAGGAGTCCTTCTGGATTTTGGACGACATGGTCGGCGTGAAGGCGCGGGCCCTGGCCACGGGTATGTGCTCGCAGAGGGCTGGGAAGGCTTGGGAGTCAGGGTTGCCGGGGATCAAGCCTCAGAACAGTTGCGAAGGTCATCATTCTCACTCTCTCCCGGCCGCGGATGAGGAGGCCAAGATGGCGACATGCGGCATTCAATGAGCTTTCGCGAGAGCGGTCATGAACAAGCACTGCAAAACGGGCTTCACCATGTTGAAGCGCGACAAATTTTCCCCACAGTCAAGCGCACCTGCTTGGCACAGGCAGCGGCACGATCCCATCCTGCGAAGGAAGACCGAGGAGGAGATGTGGGATGCATTTGCCAGTGCCTTCCGTTGCAGGGAGCAATGCTCATCGCAGAGACCGCACGCCACATGCCAGGAGAGGATAGATCCTCAAACATGGGATGCGCTTCTGGCATCTTGGTCGCAAACGCTCCACGCTTCCCCGTGCCCAGCACATTTTGTTCGCGCTGCTTGTGATGTGTCGGTGGAGGTTGAAGACCGAATCAGACCAGACATCACGAACAAGGTCTTCATGGACTTGGAGTTTGAGGGCAGCCTCGCCGCACTTGGCGTGTGCCGTTTCGCTTGCGGGCAGCAAGGCCCTCCGCAAGCCGCAAGCCGCAGCCGCAAGCCGAGGTGAGCCCGCAGGGCGTTTGGAAATCGGGCCCCGTGGCGAGCACTTGGCGTCTGGAGCTCGGTTTGGTTTTGTTGGCTTCGAGGCTGTTCGGCGCTTTGCTGCCGAAGACGGTGGAGAATTTCCGGGGCCTTTGCAACGGCCACTCGGCCGAGCAACGGGTATTGAGCAGGATGCCAGGTGGCAGTACAGAGTTGCCAGCGTGGGCATGGCGTGCGTGGCAAAATCAGAAGCATTGCACCTGACAGGGCAGTACGTTGATCAAGAAGGAGCTGCCATCCTGGGTCTTGCTTTGCATGGCTTGCTGATCCTCCATGTGATTCGTTCGTTTCCAGGAAAGGAGCAGAAATCTGCCTTCTGCTACAAGCGGCTTGGCAGAACATGGGAGCTTCACCAGAGTGCAGCGCTGGCATGGCAAGGGGCTCGAGCTTCGGGCACATCATGGGCAACCACATCATGTCAGCAGGACGGACGGGTAAGAGAATAGGCGCACTGAGCACCCAGAGGACTGCATTTGGCAGCGTCCTTTGCACCTCCCATCTGCAGGCAATGCTGGGCTGGATCTTGAACTGATAGAGTGCCGCGGCTGAATTGCCCGCCCTCCTTGGCGCTTTAATCAAGCCAGCAGATGCTCAGGTTTACTCCTGACGAGCTTGTCGACTACTACCAGTTCTTCAAGGCGGGCCCCACCGTGCAGTTGTGCCGGAGGGAAGAGTACCACAAATGAACTGATGCCGTTCAAGATAGTTCCAGCTGCCAGGACTTTGACCGGTCGCCGGAGACCGTCGGGAAGGCGGCGGGGCAGAAGGAAGGATGCCATGTGCCGGTTCCGTCGAGCCCCGCCCAAATGGCCTCAGGTGCTGAAGGGCTGGGTGATCCGCTGGGGCGCCGACCTGGGCCTGGGCGAGGACGCCTTTGGCAAGATCAGGAAGGAGGGCCAGGCCGGCGGGCGCTTGGCGGATTTTGCCCCACGAGATCCCACGAGTTTCTTGTTCTTGCGGATGCCCGAGTTCAGGTTGTGTGAATACGCCCCTTGAGGGTTTCATTGAGGCTGCCACCGAGAGCTCACAAGCAAAACGCTTCACCCACAAGTGGCAGCTGCATGCGCCCATTGAAAGCCCGCCCTTCAGGCCACAGATTCTGACAGCAACTTGGGGGCATTAGTCCTGCTGGGCAAGCTGGCGTGGTTCGGATCGCCACGCACCAGCTTTCCTCGCTTGAGGTTTGGTCGAGCTCCAAGAACTGGTATCCCTAAATTTCCTGCAGCAGATATCGCCCCTAAATTCTCCCCACACATCGCTCCAGGTTCCCCATGTCCACCACAAGCGGCTCGCTGAGCGCCTCTGAGGCAAGGGCGAGCTCAAGGAGATCTCGGAGATCATGGAGAAGTTGATCGAGCAGCCCGTTTGCGAAGGGGGGCATGTCATGTGTTGATTCCCGCGTGTTACAACCTCAAGGCCCCTGGCTGATCCGTGTGCGAATGCCGAGGAAGGGCGAGGGCGCCAAGATCTGGTTCTACAAGCCAGAATGGGAGAAGGGATGTGACATGAAGGGTGGCTTCTTTCCGGCGGACTGCTCAGTTGGCATGAAGTTGGTGGCAGTTTGGCCCGGAGTTCAAGAGGCTTTGGGCCTTCGCATGCCCGTGTCAACTTGTGCCCCTCAGGCTGAGGGGTTCAAGGTCCCTCACATGAAGCGTGGCATGCTGACCATGGACAGGCACGAGACGCAGGCTCGGGCATGGCATGCTTCAAACTTGTTTCCTTTATTGTGTTCGGTTCTAGTTTTCCGCCCGAAGTGAACACAGTGCTTGCTTGCGTGTGTGCGTGCTTGCTTGCTTGGTTGGTTGGTTGGCGAACCTGCCCTCAGGATTATCAAGGCTCTGTGTTCTTCATTACCCTGAAGGAGCCGCTAGCGCACATAATGTGTTCCCACGCGTCCGTGCACCGCTTGGGCAGACCCTTTCGCAACCGTGAAAGGGTTGCACCCAGTTTGATGAACGGAGTGGAGATTGCGCAACCTTCACCTTGGAAGACCAAAATCAACGGTCTTTGGGCGCTGTGCTGAGGGCGGCGTTGCTCGCTGGCCAGCTTTTTCCACCGCAGGAGTTCCCCCAGATGGACCAGCGATGGGTCTGCTTTGGGGAGATCCTCTCGGGCCTGGAGCTCCTGGATCAGATGGAGGAGGGGAGGCTCCAAGGTCAGGGCTGAACTCACTTTTGGCCAACACTGTCGGGGACCCTGAGGCAATTTTTTTTTGGGGGGGTTGATGTGGGGGCGTTGCGGTGGCGCGGCGGTGTGGTGGGCTCAGCCACCTTGTCGTGTTCAAGCCTGATTCATGAAGGTTAGTGGAAGGGGTTGAAGAGGACAGCAAATACGAGCTTCTTGTTGGTTGCCTCTTGCCAAGCATAGGGAGGGCATGCCACATGCACCTGCCGATGAATGACGGAAGAGGCTTGGAGGGGTCCAAACTTTGCAATTACTGTGGCTGTGTTCATTGAGCCGCGCAGACGCGCTCGCACCTTGACAACCCGGCATCAACATCTCAGATCAGGGAGGTTGTGATTAGCCATGGTTAATATCATCATCAGGGACGTCGCGGTAGTGACCGACCTGTGGTGTTTTGGCTCAAGTTTGCGGGTCCGTCGCGCCTCGGATGAGCGTCGCCGGGTCCCCGCGTCGATCACCTTCGTGTCGGTGGAGAAAGAGACATCGGCCCGGGGCAGATTGGTGGGGTCCGCCCGTGCGGTTCATCGTCGATCAAGGTTGCGGGTACTTGTTTACTTGTTTTGGTTTTTCCCTTTTGGTTGTTGTTCTCTGGTGTGTGGGAAACCCTGATCTTTGGGACCGGGGATTGGTTTGCTTTTGGGGAACCTTTCTTTTGTGGCTTGTTTACCCCAACTTACCCATTGCCTGGGCACAGGCTCGTGCCCGAATCACAGGTTATCAGCCGTAGGACTTTCCTACGCGCTTGAGACCATCAACTACAAGCTCTATGTCGACCCCACGATCTCGAAGGAGCGTCGTGGATGAGGAGGCCATCCTAGGTGGCCTCCGCTCAGGTGAGGACCTACCGGACTATGACTACGAGGATTTCGAAGCAGGTTCGACAGGTCAGGACCGCAGGGGTGAAGATCCCGGTAGGGATACACCCAGGAGCCGTGGCAGGTACGCCGACGATGGAGACGATCGTATTTTCCGCCAGGCCACTGATGACGAGCAGACACGAAGGGTTTACTCCGATAGGAGTGGCTCTGAATCAGGTCACAGGCGTGGACGTTTTGACTTCATCAGCATGGCGATGGACATGGCCCGCCCTCATTCGGATGACCCGGAGGCCATGCCGATTCGACCTCCGAGATCTCTTGTTCCAGGTGAGTCGCAGGTCTCGGATGAGTTTGAGAATAGGCCGCAGGGACCAGGGACTATGGTTCTGGCTCCGGGAGGTATCCCGGGCCGATCCATTGGTTCTCAAAATCCAGGTCAGTTTGATGAGCACGAGGAGCGGAAATTCACGGACTTCGGATACGATGATCTGTTGAAATCAACCGCAGGTTGGGGCAGTAGCTCAAAGCAGGGATCTGATGCCGGTAGGCCCAACCCTAATACTGCCAAATCTGAGTCTTATGATGGCGAAGGTTACAATTTTGCGGATGAGGAGGAGAGCCATTCGCGCCGAAATGCAGGCAGCCGTGCGACTGCAAGGACTAGTCCCGCCGCTGCCAAGTTTGAGGTCGATGATGATGACGAGTATGCCGCATTTGCGGATCGCCGTGATGAGGAGGAGGACCAACCACGACGAAATGCTAGGATCCGTGATGCTGCGAGGCCCAGGAGCCTCTCTCGTGGAGCCGCCAGGGACCTTCGCGTTGACAGGGATGCCCGAAGCGAGAGAGAGAGAGCCAGGGACAGTCGGGAAGTTCTTCGGGGATTGGAGGCCATCCATGACCGTGAGGGACCGGTAGGTCCCCCGGCGATTGGTGATACCCCGAATGTTCCCCCTTTTCCCAACATTACGTTTGGAGGTCCGTTAAATCAGAGAGACGTGAACTCGAACCGGGTTACTGGTTCGCCGAGAGTCACTGAGCGGGTTGCCGATGTCGTTGGGAGAGGTGCAAGAGATGGCCGGCTTGCCGATGCACTCGGAATCGAGGATCGTCCGTCGATCGCTAGCCCGTTAGGGCGAGATACCAGTGACCTTGAAACGCTAAGGTCCAGCAACGAGTTCACACCTCAATGGGGCTCGACCGCCAGGGAACGTAGTGCTTCTGCGAAGAGACCGTCACCCCTGGCCATTGAGACCGATAGGTCAAAGGCGAGGAGGGCTAGCCCCTCACCAATGGACTCAACTCCGCAGGATGAGGAGATGCCTGATCCTGCTGATGTTCACATCCACTCTACTCCCGAGTCTCGTGCGTCCCATGTTGATCCCCGTTCCGGCGATAGCCGTAGAAGGGGTTCTACCCTAGCAGGCCATCTGGGGTTGGTGATAGTCCTGTGGATGACCCCAGAAGATATGCTAGAGCTAGTGGGGCTCCTGAGAGGATCGAGATATCGACTCCTCCAGCACTCAGGTCTCATTCTTCCGGTGAATCAGGTGACGCTAGGGCAAAGGAGGTGTTCGATTTGCACATCCAGGAGATGCTCGAGAGAGGTGAGGTTTCTGGCTCAGTCGCGAAAGCGTTCCATATTTTTGCTGACCAAATCAGGTTACTGAACGGTCAAGTGAGTTCCATGCGAAGGGAATGGAGCGACGAGAATCAACAGACGAAGGACAAGGTCGATCGACTGGCAGCTGAGGTTGCGACTCAATCTGATGCCGGGAGGATGCGAATGATAGTTCAACGGTTCGCAAGGGAAGTTATTCCCGATAGCAAGGCCATTGTGAGGCAAGCCATCGATGAGCAAGCCGAGGTCGTGGAGCAGAGGATTAACCTACTGTCCCACGAGGTTCATGAATCTGTCAAGGACAATGAGGCATCGACTGATCGGCTTCGCCAGATGATTCAGGAGAATAGTGAGGCTGCCCGCAGAAGCCATGCTGCTTCTGAGGACGAGATCCTTAAGGATTTGGACAAGCTTGAGAAACGGATGTTCTCGGTAGAGAAAACCGTTGGGATGCGGACACCAGCAGGTGTATGGAACTCGAATCCTGTCGCGCATCCGTCCGATAGGGCCAGCGGCAGTGTAGTGGACGCAAATTTCAGGGAGTTAAACCTGAAAATCGAGAAAGCTCTCCTTGAACACGAGACATTTGCCAAGTGGGCCTCTGAATCTATTGAAGGGATCAATGAAGAGCACACTCGTCTTGTTAATCGAGTGTCGAGGCTGCAGAGTGGAAGGGGGTCTCAGGAGGTCGATAGACCATCAGAACATGATTCCCCGCAGGACTGGCATGAGGCTATTGACGAGGTCAATCGGAAGATCCAGGATCTGGCTCGAGGAATTCAACGTCAACGTCGGGATCATGACGACATCATTTCAAGGTTTGAGACCGTGAAATCACATGTTGAACAGTATGAAGCGAGATCGGCAATTGTGAATCGGGTCGTTGATAACATTCAAGGACAGATCCGTAATCTTCCTGCAAGCAGTGACCAAGTGCAGCCTGCCGTTAGGCGAGAACTCGGCTCGTTCCGGAGTACGCTTGAAGGCGTTATGCGGAGAGTCAGCGCTATCGATGGTAACGTGCGTAATCTTAGCGCAATGAACAACAGAATCATGTCTCAGCTCTTTGAAATGGAGGGTCAATTTGACGAGGCTGCTGGCATCATTCAGGGTGTCCAGCAGATTAATGAGGCTCCTCAACAACCCAGAGAGAGACGGAATGTTGGTTACGATGCATTTGCGGGGCAGGGACATAGGATCAGGTCTCCGACGCCCACACCCGGGGAAGGTGACGGCCGGGGTACTGGCCGTCCGGTGAGACCAGGCGGAGGTGTTGGTTTGCCTGACCATGTTTTGCCGAATGTGCCCGATAGGGTCGATCCTTCTCGTGCAGACAGGCATCCCATAAATCCCGGCAGGAGGGCTCGGGGGTTGCCTGACAGGTCGCATTCGCCGCCAGGGCGTGCGAGGGATGGTCCCCGCGCGCGTGCAAGGGGGGACATTTCTATTTCTCCCAATAGGGATGTGGGTAGGAACAGGAGCCCGAGGCCTGATGCCGTTCCCAATAGGGGGTCTGAGGTCCGAAGTCGGCAATCAAGGGTGGAGAGGCCGGTCCGCGATAGCGGGAGCATCTCTCCGAACCTGGATAGACCGATCCGCGATAGCGGGGACGTCTCTCCGAACCCAGACCGTCATCCAGGAGGTGGTAGGGGTATTAGGGCCCATGCCGATACCCAGAGTCCTGGCGATGACTGGAGGACTCCTGGGAGCAGAGCTAGTGCAGACATCCCGAGTCCCGGCGAGAGGTGGAGGGCCCCTGGAGCTCCATCTGATCGTGGACAGGCCTCGGCACCGGCCACAAGAGGCGCTCCCGGTGCCGGTGGCCCAGGTGTGCCAAAGATTTGCGCCCTCGATGACCCCAACGACCGTAGGCACCCGGACGCTGAATTTTCATGTGTTACATGCAATCGTGAGTTTTGCAGGCTTTGCCGGGGCGATGATGGTGACTGTAGTAATTGTCAGTTTTTGAAAATGAAGTGCTGGGCATGTCGCAAGAATGCTCAGGAGGTCTCCATGTATTTCTGCACGGATTGTGGGACCCACGTCTGTGAGAATCACAGTTACTTTGGAGATGACGGCCTTGAGCGCGCGCTGCAATATTCGGCATGAACGCGCTCAAGCTGGACCGCCCCCTCCTCCTCCTCCTGGGGGAGGTGGTGGGCAAGGCGGACCACCTGGTCAAGGCGGGAGCGGAAGCGGTGGTCATGGACATGCTCCACTTCCACCACCAGGTCCTGGACATCCTGGCGGAGGCCAAGGTCCCGCTGGGCCCCCTGGCGGCCCGAGTGGAGGGGCGCCTACCGGGGGTTACCCTGGTGGAGCACCCGGGTTCCATGGCAGTGCTGCTGATACTCATGGAACTGGGAACAATCAGTGTGGTTCCAGTTTCTATGGTCCTGCCTACGGAGGTGGCGTTAGTCACCAAGGGGTTGGCGCTGGCGTAAGTCAGTCTAGCGATGCTGCAGGTTACCCCTCAAGTGTTGCGATCGGTGGTAACCTTGGGCCAGGTCTTAGCC